CTGGTAACAGATGATAGGACGAGGGGGAATGGTTTGAAGCTGCGCCAGGGCAGGTTTAGGTTAGATATTAGGAAAAACTTCTTCACTGAAAGGGTTGTCAGGCTCTGGAATGGGCTGCCCAGGGAGGTGGTAGAGTCCTCCTCCCTGGAGGTATTTAAAAGAAGGATAGATGAGGTGCTTAGGGACATGGTTTAGTGGTGGGATGTCAGGGTTAGGTTAAAGGTTGGACTCGATGATCTTAAAGGTCTTTTCCAACCAAAGTGATTCTATGATTCTATGATTCTACTGCTGCTGTATTCCATTCACATGATTCCAAAAATCCTCTTGCTTGAAGATTTTCTTTAAAGGCTACAGCACAATGACATCTACTTTCTCTCTTGTACAGCGTCTATCCACCTGCTCCAACAGCCATAGAATGGAATAGAATGGAATATTTCAGTTGGAAGGGACCTACAAGGACCATCCAGGCCAACTGCCTACCCGCTTCAAGGCTGACAAGAAGTCACAGCATGTTGTTAAGGGCATTGTCCAAATGCCTCTTAAACACCAACAGGCTTGGGGCATCAAATACCTCTCTAGGAAGCCTGTTCCAGTGTTTGACCACCCTCTCAGTAAAGAAATGCTTCCTAATGTCCAGTCTGAACCTCCCCTGGAGTAGCTTTGAACCATTCCCATGTGTCCTATGACTGGGTACCAGGGAGAAGAGATCAGCACCTCCCTCTCCACTTTGATTTGATCCACTCCACATTCTAGTCACAGTACTTTTGATGGCATCCTTTTTAACAGGCCCCAAAACAGAGGTTTTTTGCTTGCATACCATTAACTTGTATACAGGCAAATGACTCCGTGAACTAATGTGCAAATGAAATGTATAAACAACACATGCTAAACTTGGCTGTTCTGACAACACCTGAAATTAACCTCCACCACATTTATGTTATTCCTTAAAAGTATATTACATATGAAGTTATAATTCTGCAAGATTGTCTATAAACAGAAAGAGATGATATTTCTCCAGAAAGAGTCGAAGCCACTGTAGGCCACTCAATGTATTACTGACCTCGAAGTGCTTAAATAAATAAGCAAAAGCATAATTTATATATGTTACCAGAAAAAAATAGCAATGAGAATCTCATTCCTGATCTCTTGCAAACATAAAAAAAGGCTGTAAAGATCTTGTATTATCTCAATCTTGTCAGAACTCATATATCACAACCAAAAGAAGAGGCCCAAATGGCTGTCTTCATAGATCAGTGGTATGCTGAAAAGTGGTACACTAGGGGTAGGATAAAAACTGATGGTTCTTCCCATGGCTGGCAACTTAAACATTCATTGACTGCAAAATCTTCTCTCAATAATAAAGTATACCATGCACTTTTCTATATACATATTTACCAGCTATATGGCACAGTGTACAATACAGTGTAAATCAGATAAAGAGTTTTCATAGACATCTTTTATATACAAGGAACTGAGTGAACAAGGCTAAGTTCCTGTAGATACTATGGATATAGAAAAGTTATAAAACCCTAGATGAAAAGACAGGGATAAAATATACTACTATGTATCAAACATATTTCTGTTTTCTCTTTAAGTGTTACTCAAAAATTGTACTGTTCACAGCTCATTCTGTGTTCCTGCAAAGAATATAACTAATACACAGATCTTTTATATAGGCATCTCAGTACAACTTTTTAAAGTATACTCCTACATAATTAATGCTCCAACATTTATTCCACAGTCATCACAAAAAAGAAAAACGATTACTACCTGGCACTGGTTTTGGTACATTTTTAGATCCTCACGGAGTTTCAGATTTTCCTCTTCTAGTTTCTTCTTGTTTATTGCTATTTCATTCACAGTTGCCTTTAGCTTTTCAATAATCAACTCATCCTTTTCACTTTTGGGCTGGCCATAAGTAATTACCTCTTCTTGGTTTTGTTTCTTATTGATTATTTGGAATTGATAATTCTGTGTCTGCTTCTATAAAACAAAAACTTCTTTTAAATGAAATTCAATAATTATATGTAAATTGTTAGGACCAAACCATTACTACTAAAATCATAAAGTTATTTCCTTTTTCACCAGTATTTGTTTAGAAAAGATGGCACAACTGGAACAGTTTGCATTACTTCTCTAAATTATACTTCTTTTTTTTTAGCCTCAAGTTCTTTGTCCTCAGTAAGAAAAACGTTTCAGAAACTTCCAAGGGCACAGAATTTTTTTCAAGGATTTCTCTCCTCTGCTGTGTATTTTCCTAGCAATTAATTAGCCCCAAATGTGAAAAAGGTGATTATGATGACCTACTCAAAGCAGTTACTTATAAAAAATAATTTGAGAGATGTTCTTTAATTCATTGAACTCAGTAGGAGTTGTGTGTGTGTGCACGTGCATGTGCGCCTTGGGATAGATATTAACCTTTGACTAGAGGGCTAGCATTACATAGTTCATGTATAAACAGCTCAGTTACTACAGTAACTGTACTTTGATATCATTATCCTTAAACCTGGGGAAGAATCATTTGCACATTCTGCAGAGTCCCACACTCCATTCAGTTTCTTGTACTAATTAAAATCGTAAACCCAAAACTTCAGAAAATTGTTATTGCCTGTATTTGTGAACTCACAGGCATCATGAAGAAGTATAATTACTATGGTAACTGTTTTTGCTGTTTCAAAAGTTATCCACATAGATCCCTCTACTGGGAGATTAACAAGCAGCAGTAATCCTCCAGAAGACTCAGAATTAGCTGAAAAATGGCATCAAAATATAAACTGGAAACCATATATCATGTTCAGAGATCAAGTTCAGCAAGAAAATGTATATTAAAACTAAATAGTTACAAATACCGTATTTCATTGATAAGGACTGCAAAAAGGCATGCTTTAGACAGCTTTTGATGTCATTGACTATGTTCCCATAATTTGCATTGGGTGAACACCTAGGTAGAACTGACCACTGGCTGCATATCAAATAAAAAGCCAAAGAAATTTGCAGGTAAGTTTACTTTCTATAGATAATAAATTAAGGTCTCCCTGATATCTAAGTTACAGAGTCATGACACACCAAAATGTCAAAGCATCCTGCAAAAAATACAGTGCAAGACTCCAGTTGAAAGACCTCACAAAAGAAGAATTTGAGAGACAGACACAGGACCAATTAATGCTTTTGAAACAGTTAAGGGGTAACAGTCCATTAGGCTTCTATTTAATAAACTTGTCAGTGTTATGTTACAGTTGTGAAGAAAATTGTCTTCAAGGAAAGCTCACTGATGGCGGTGATGTAAGCTGCAACAGAAAAATGTGGATGATCACCTTGGGTACCCTATTTTGACTTGTCTAACTATATAATCAACATGCAGCAGTCAGTAGTTTTGTCTAGTCAAAGCCTTGCTTTTTTAACACATTTGTATGGAAGTTCAATAGTTGCAATATAATGTTTTCAACAACAAAACTGTCATCCTTGGAAACTCTGGATATGGGTAAAGAGTCTCATAGGGATTGTTAAGAAAATGTTTCACTAGATTAAGATCCAATGAGCTTAGTAACAGTGGAAAAGGGGATTACCAGTCAGCAACATAATTGGCTTCCCCTTACTTAATGTTCGAGCTGTTTTGTGGCTCAGTTAATTTGTAAGTTATTTTCTATTCTTTTTAGAGTAGGATAGGTCAACAAGACATCATTAAATCAGTATTTTGTTCTGGATTGGAAGGAATTAAAAAAATAAAAACATGCTAGATCAATAGGCCATATAAAAAAGTAATAAGCAAATCAGCAAGTAAAAAAGAAACACAAAGTCAACCAAGGAGTGAATGGTAACTTGAAAGCTGAAAAGTATGATTAAAAAAGGATAAGTGATCCAACAAATAACTCCAAGTCTGATTTTGGAGTAGCATATAGAAATTCATTTTTCTGCATAAATCATATTAATGTATATTTATCATCTTCAAAAAAATGAAGGCCATCTTAGATTTGATGGAACTCTATATTTGAGTCAACATAGTAATGGTATGTATTACTTACTTTGTATGATACTTTTCAATAACTTGTCATCACCATTAATTGCGTATTAGTAAATAGCATAGAAGAGAAAACTATCTCCATAGTACACTCCAAAAAAGTAAAAAGGAACATGCACTACTTTTTGCAGCTTTTTTAATCAGAAATATTGTGATTTTCATCATGATATTTATTCATTTTCTCATTATCATGAGAAAAATAAAATTCAAACAACTGTATGTATCATCAGTATGGGTCTGCCTCACCTAAAGCAATGTATTCACTACAAATATGCACATGTATTGTCAGATTCACTATAAGCTTAGCAGTGTTCAGATTTTTTAAATTAAGCTAAAATAACTCTAGTTGAGCTAACAGCCCATTTTCTTTCTAAAGCAGGAAGATAGGAATTTTACCTGAAATAAATTACATTTCTCAGACAATAATTTTTGTTGAGCATCTAAATAAACAAGATAATTTTGGCAGATTGTCCCCTTCTTATCCCATTCTCTTGATTTTGCCTTAAATTCCTGAAAGACATCAAAACAGGGCTAGTAAACACAGCGAAAATAACTTTTTTTCCTCAATCTAAATAACTTTGTAAATTTTATAGTTCTAAAAAAATCCATTTTTTTAATTAATACATAGTCTTTCCATAATTTTGGAAAGTGGAAAAAAATAACAATGATCTAAACCAGCCATCCAGCCATCCCCACCAGAAAAAAAATCCAGTTTTAAGGGCTGCTAATCTGAAAAAATTGGGCAGTAAACATAATCATTGAATAAAAATGAGAAAATATTTTAAACTACTTCCATTGCTGTAGATCTTAGAGTTATGACTGTAATACACTCATTTTATTGGAGGAATAGTTCCTGTGACTTTAAAGTTATATCAGTGTCAAGTAGAGTAATCAGCAGGGAATCAAACCCCTAATATTCAGACAAATATTTTGAGTGCTTGCTTTTTTCTTTTTTTTTTTTTTTAATAAATGGGACAGCAGCTACTGTGAATAAATTTTACTTCTTGATCTCTTTACAGTTGCTGCTTCTGGTTCTGAGTTCACCTAGTGTAAACAAAAACTTGTTTAACAAATTCTATTATATCAGATTTATCTAAGACTGTTTTTATAGTTGCACTTATATCTCTATTTATAGTGTATTTGAATTTGCTTTTGAATCATACCAGATCTTATATGTTCACAACTAGACTTTAAAGGCGGTACCCTACAAAATAAGTAGGAGAACTCCTGTTACTAGAGCCGCTGCTCTTTTAGTTTGAAGGATTAGCAAAATAACAGTATACTGTTTTATACAGTGAAAGCTATAACACTTATAAGATGCTATGAGAACTTCATTTTTCACAATGGAAATGTTGTTGCAAAAAGACATGATTTTTTATAATTATCCTAAACTGGCATAATCCCCAAATTTTAAAAAATAAGATTTTATATGCTGCTGAAACAAAATCAAATGCTTTCCAACATAGATTAATACAAATCTTCTTTTGCAGCTTTTCTGATATCTGCTTTGGCATTTTAAACCAATAAACATCTTGCCATGTTACAAAATGTTTACAAATGGAGTTTCAGACTACTTAATGAGGACTGAAGGTTCAAGGCCTTACTAAAGCACTGCTGATCATAGGAGATTTTCAACACAGTAATTATTTCCTGAATACTAGAATTTGCTGAATATATTCCAAGCACTCGTTTTTTATACTGCATAATTAATCAAATTACAGCATTGTGTTACATTATTTTCACATTTTAATCTTGAATAAGGTCATTCTTAAATTAGCTGGATCAGACAGTTTCACAGTAGTGATATATTTAGTCAACGATAGATATATAACCCATTTATTATTCTTGTAGTAGCAGATGTTGGCAGCTATGCTGCAGTCCAAAGCATAGTAGCTTTTCTGATGGCAAGGACTCTTCAAAGTGGAAAAGACAGAACATTATGTAGAGCTAGGATATGTTCAGGATGTGTCCTGTTACATAGGAACAGTCACATGAAGGTCACAGAAGTTAGTCCCACATCTTAGAGAATAACATAGAACATAGGCAAGTCCGAAATAAAGATCCTAAACCCTTCTTAATTGCAGCTTAAGTATAAAAGTACTTAAAATCTATTAGATCTTAAATTTTTGATTGTAAAGTTCTCAAAGTGTCTAAATAATCTTTATGATAAATCTACATAAATTATGTCAATAAGCCTGTAAATCTTCACAATGCTTAACAGCTAGGCAACTAGCTCACACATTCCACTGGTATTCCTCTGCTGACTTGGTAAATGCTCGAAGCACACACTATTTTATTATGCTCTTTACAAAGGCCAGCCAGAGAAAATGTCATTTTTTTTTCTGTGATCCTCCTATGCTTCATCAGACTAGTGGTTAGACTGTTCTCCCCATATGTGGAAGAATCAGTTTAATAATCTTCTCTCCAGGCAGAAACTAAACCAGAATCTTCCCATGTTAATTTTCCATCTAAAAAACAAATGTTATTTTTCAGCGGGCTCTGGAATTTTTCCTTTTGAAGTTGTTTCACTTTGCCCAGGATACCAGCAAATTCATTGGATAAGTAAAAAAGAAAAAGCAAAAATTAATACAGCTAGAGATTATATCACTCAGTTATAAGAAATGACACTGGATATCAGTTTCTGCACCAGTGAATGTAGCCAGAAGAGTATCTGGGGAGAAGCCACCACTTGGAGGCACACTCTCTATATGCCAGTTCTCTGTGCTGGCTAACTGTACTGTTGGCCTAATAAATATTTGATTATTCCACAGATCATAAAGTAACTTCTAACTCTGAGAAGCCAAGGCTGGGAATTACAATCAGAAAACAGTATCTTCCTGTATCCAAAAATGTCAGCTAAAATCCATTCTGTGCCCAGAGGGATAGGGAATATGGCTGAATCCTGTCCTCAGCACTTCATAGTACCTAGCCCCCACTCAGTATGCTGGATTCTGTGGGAAGTATTTTTTAAGTGCCTAATCCTTCCTCATGTGTTACCTAAAAAACCAGGTACTGACGTCAAGGTTGTGGATTGCCTCAGGCACATGGGTGCTGACAAGGTATGTGTATAGCAACCAGTTTTCCATCCTAAATCCTTTTTCTATCTAGCCCTACATGGTCAAAGTTGTCTGTAATTTGAATTAATGGTAGGTATTATGTGACAGTATCCTGCATATGTAAAAGGTCTCATGCCTCAACAGGAGAAAAACTAACATTATTTATAGCTACACTTATGAAATTATCTGTATTAACTCATAAAACTACTAAACCACTAATATGACTTGGATAAGAGAACAAAACCTGAATACTAAACTATTCACTTTTTCTTGTCAGAGCAAGAAAATGATATAATTTTTGTAGAATTATCAGGAAACCACAGATTAGTTCTAAACGCATATTAAAATTAGAATATAATAACAAAGTATTCCTACCTCCAGTTTCTTGTATAAATTGCTCAGTTCAGCTGGTGTATCTAGGCTTTCCTCACACTTTTTTCTACTTTCAACCCTTTTTTGTTTTAACTGATGTGACTGTAGCTTTTCATAACTATGCGCCAACTTTGAAACCTAAAAATGAAAGCAGAGTTGAACATGCAGAATCTATCAAAGATGACCACATGGCCAAAAGTTTTCTTTAAACTAGAATAGCCAACTGCGGCTTCAGCATTCTAAATATTTAATCAATGTAACAAATCATCAATTAATAAAGTTAATTTCTTAGAGATGAACAAGACTAAGCTCTCATACAAATGTTAGCTAACTGTTCAAATGGATTCATTTGACAGCTACTTAATTCTGCTGAAGTTCTTTACGGCACTGTTACCCATAGTGTCATTTCCTCTACAATGTTTGTATGAAATGTTCTATACTTGTTTACTGCCATCTTGTGTTGACATTTTTAAAGGGTGCTTCACTAGCCAGAATGAAGGATTATGGTTAACATGTTTTAAACTTGCATGTTTCTTTTTTATCATGAAAATTGTTGAAATGTTACGTATGTGATGATTGCATTCTTCTGGAACCATTAAGTACCAAAGATTGTCTATGAGAGTTAGATACTTAATACTGTTGTGCTTATTGATCTTACCATGAAAGTGTGGCTTAGGAGTCAGAGGCAAAGGAGTTAGAGGCAGAGAAGGGAAGGTACCAGCCTCTTCAGAGGGTACCTGCCTCTTCAGAAAAATGGCCAGTCTGATCAACAGTTAGCTATACGACACATGCAGAGGGGCTAGTGGCTGTTAACAGCTTTGATACAGCAAACATTGTCTGGTAGAGATATGTACATCTCATTTTGAAAAAAAAAAAAAGGAAAACCAAGGATATTGACAAAGGAAACACTAAAAATATGGGCTTGAGGGAAGAAGAGTGAAAGAACTTTGCGAAGTATGTTGACTAGAAAAAAAAGCTTACAAATATGAACACTGATCATGTCTTTTGCTGTTTTGTTCCTTTAAACTCATGTATATATGATGGTTTATTTTCTCTGTAATAATTACAGCTCAACTTAAAAAACTGTGACTCTAACATAAAGTTCTTTGCCTAACCAAACAAAATCCATAAAATCTCATATTTTTGTTAACTGCTCAAGTGAACTATGTCTGGAAAAGAAATTACTTCCAAGGAAGTAATTGGAAATGGAATGGAATCCTACTGAACCTACCTGGAATGAGCAACTGAGGTCTGTGCAGATAAGAAACATGGCCAAAAAAGTCCAGAAAAGATACAGAACAGAAACTGGAGTTAAAAACACATCTGGAAACTTCCTAGAGACATTTGGGATGATTTTGAGAACTCATAATATGGAACAGCAAAAAGAATTGAAAAGATGACCAGCAGGTAGATTGTCCTAGACTAGATAGTTTCATGAAATGGGGAGGTCCAGGGGTAGATTTGACCAACCTGGAATTTCTGAATAGAAATCCATGTGGACTTAACAGAGCTGAGAACCACCTTCAAAATGAAATCAAAAGTCTTGCAGAGAAGCTGCCTAAATTTGAACTTGACCTTGCCAGAGAACATAGTTAAGATAAAATATTTAAAATGGGTCAGATTATCCAAGCTCAAACAACATGGAACTCATTGTCTTCGGAGGAAAAATATCTTCTTTCAAATAACAGGATTTTTACTCTTGAATATATTATGGCACATGTCAACTGCCTGGGAAGAGCAAACCCAGATGAAGACAGGTATTAGACTGTTCATGCTAAAAAGACTAGGAAATACAGGATCTAATGCTTCAGCAAATCAGTCTAAAAAGGAATAGAACGGTCAAAATGAGACAACTTAGTTTGAATATTAGATTTATTTAATGAAAGTAGGATATTTCAGACATATTATAGTCTAGATGTTACCACAACCAGAAACTAAACTAAAAGCCAAGAATCTTTCCATTTAACGCTAGATACTTGCTTTAAAAATAAGGTCCAAGGTGTTCTATTTGCATGTTGTACAAGTTAAAAAAAAAAAACAACAACATGACGCATTTTAGTAAGTTCTGGGGTAGGTTTCATCTAAGTTTAGATGTCTGAAAGTTATACATCCAAGCCTGAGCTACTCTGCATTAGAAAAAGCTGCCTCCAAATGCTTAGTCATTTCAGCTATCTTAAATTCGCATCATATACTGACATGAATTATATTCCAGGGGTGTCCATTTCTCTCCATTGATTCTAAAGGGAGCCTGAGGTAGCTCAGACATAGCCATCTAGTTTTTAAATGTGTAAGTGACGAAATTAGCTGCTAAAGTGCTTAGAGCAAGAATGGATTCTTGTTCTTTTGCTGAGGGACTTCTGTCATTTTCAAAATGAGAATAAGTACTAAACATTAATATAGAAAAAAATGAAGGAAGAAAGTAATGAAGATGAACCCCTAAGGTTTTTGCTATTCAATTATGACAAAATGTTGTACATTTGAATGAGTGCAGCAGTGGGGCCTAAGAGTTTGAGGTTACATACCAGGAATTATTTCCCTAATACAAGAAAAATACAGATTTTACTGCATTCGACAGGCACACATTCAATTCAGTAGGCATGTTGCTCATTAAACAGCTGCTTTTATCAATAGCAAGGGTAAAAAGCACTGAGGACCACAGAAGCAGCATATAGGAGAGAAATCTGTTCTGAACAGCCCCGCATTCTTACAACTAGAAAAAGTGATCCTTTCTACCAAGATTAAGAAGGAAAAAAATTGGGAGGGATTTTAAGAATACCTTTGCAGAGAAAGATACAATGCTACTGGTAAATAGTAGCCCTCGCACCATTTGTGCAAAACTAAATTGTAGCTCTTAAGATTATATAGTGTAGAAGGAGGTGTAACTTTCAAGTGAGGGTAAGAAACAAAAGAATGGAGACAAAGGAGATAAAGCGAAGATTAATATTGCCAGGGAAGCTCTATATTTTAGATATGAGCTTGTGCAGCTGAGAATTGGGGACATTAAAGTAATTCTATCGTAGACACTGCACCTGCAACACTGTAATTTAAGAAAGAAACTCAGTAAGGAGACATAGTAAAAGCTAGAGGAGCAGAGTGGGATAGTCTTGTGTAGCACAGGTGCTTGGAATTGTTCTGATGGGCTAACTTTGTTTATCACCTAGAGAAGCTAGGCAGGCCTCCTAACTTAGGCATTTAACAGTTTCCTTCTTCAGTCAATGTGCACTGGATGGATATTTCATGAAGAAAATATGGTTTGGTGAAAGGGGAGGAATGGGAATCAGAAAATAAAATGCAAACAGCATCAGTGTTGGAACCTTCAGTAAAATAAATAGGATGACTGAAGAAGAATGAAATGTTTGGAGGCATAGATTGGGAAAGGGATGTGTACTCTTAAGAGCTAGAAATCCAAACTTCTTGCATAAAGATAAAAAGAGAAGCAATTAGGAAACTCAAAGAAAGGTTAGGTGGTCTGAGTAGTAACTAAAAAAGGAGAATCTTGGCAAGAAGTATAACCAGGTTTACAGAGAGAAGTTTGTAGGTTAGGAATTGTGAGATTCTTTAAAAAAACCACAAAGAGAAAACAGATTATATTTCTGCATGTGTATTGGGTTTGCATGGCAAGGTTTTGGTAGCAGGGGGGGTACAGGGGTGGCTTCTGTGAGAAGGTGCCAGAAGCTTCATCCGATAGAGCCAATGCCAGCCGGCTCCAAGAGGGACCCACTGCTGGCCAAGGCGAAGCCCATCAGTGATGGTGGTAGCGCCTCTGGGATAACATGGTTAAGGAAGGGGGAAAAGTTACTGTGCAACAGCAGCTGGGGAGGGGAGTGAGAGGCTGTGAGAGGAGCAGCCCTGCAGCCCCCCAGGCCAGGGCAGCAGGAGGGCAGGAGGGGCTCCAGGCGCCGGAGCAGAGATTCCCCTCAGCCCCTGGGGCAGCCCATGGTGGGGCAGGCTGTGCCCCTGCAGCCCAGGGAGGCCCACGGGGGAGCAGATCCCCACCTGCAGCCCGGGGAGGACCCCACGCCGGAGCAGGGGGATGTGCCCGAAGGAGGCTGTGACCCCGTGGGAAGCCCGTTTGTGGAGAACTGCAGCCCATGGGAAGGACCCAGGCTGGAGCAGGGGAGGAGTGTGAGGAGTCCTGCCCTGAGGAGGAAGGAGCGGCAGAGACAGCGTGGGATGAACTGACCCCAACCCCCATTCCCCATCCGCCTGCGCCGCTCAGGGGAAAGAGGGAGAGAAAACTGGGAGTGAAGTTGAGCCTGGGAACAAGGGAGGGGTGGGGAGAAGGTGTTTTAAGATTTAGTTCTATTTCTTATTACCCTACTCTCATTTGATTGGCAATAAATTAAATTAATTTCCTCAAGGCATCTGTTTTTGCCCGTGACTGTAATTGGTGAGTGATCTCTCTGTCCTTATCTCAACCCACAAGCCTTTTGTTATAATTCCTCTCCCCTATCCAGCTGAGGAGGGGAGTGATAGAGCAGCTTTGGTGGGCATGTGGAATCCAGCCAGGGTCAACCCACCACATCATGCAAAGGACTTGTAGGGTAATTAACAACTTCAAAACCAAAATCTTTAAGAAAAACGACCTGGAATTTCAATTTCAGAAAGTTCAGTTTCAGTGAAGATCTTAGCAACAACACATAACATAAACACAGTCATTTTTAGCATGTGATAAAAAAAAAATTAAGTGAAGAATATTGCAGGAAATGTGAAAAAGGATGAGAAAAGAGAGATATGCTATATTTTGGGGGGCGAGTACTTCATTGCTAAAGGGTACCTTACAACTTATACGTAAAAAGGCACACCACTATTCATTGTATGATGTTTATCTTCTCAATAATCATGCTAAGATATTGTTTCTTTTTCTGTAACTTATGTAAATTATAAAAAACTTTTGTTTCTAGCTGCTTTCCCAAATGATTAAAAGTGTTAATTACATAACAACCCAAACATTCTCTGTTTACTCACAGAACTGTTTGCCAAATCAATTTCCATATATAAAAGAAAAAAGAAATTAAAGACATGACCTTTAAAAGAAGTTATACATTTGTTAGCTTGATGGATTTGTGTGGTGTTATCATCTCTAAATGAAAATAATGATATGCAATTTATGCAATCCAAGATAATTCTACATTCTAATTCTACAAATGAGTGTGATGATTAGAAATTTTTAATTACTTCCAAGGAAGTAATTGGAAATGGAATGGAATTCTTAATCTCTGTTAGGAGAATCCGGTGAAGGCAACAGTGGAATAGTGGGAAAACCAATGTAGAATTGTGTAAATTAACTTGTTAAAATCTGAGAAAACAGAATATACTGAAGTTTGCTAAGAATTTAGATTCATGATTGAAGTGGAAAATAATGAAGAAAAAAAAATACAGGCAGAGAGCAAACACAGCTAAATAGTAATTGTAGAATCATAGAACCATAGAATGGTTTGGGTTGGAAGGGACTTTTAAAGATCATCTAGGCCAACCTGCCGACCATGGGCAGGGACACCTTCCACTACGTCAGGTTACACAAAGCCGCCTCCAATCTGACCTTCAACACTTCCAGTGATGGGGCATCCACAGCTTCTCTGCGCAACCTGTTCCAATGTCTCATCACCCTCACTGAAAAAAAAAATCCTTCCTTATGTACAATCTAAATCTACTCTCTTTCAGTTTAAAACCATTGTCCCTTCTGTCACTACAGGCCCCGGTAAAAAGTCTCTCTCCATCTCCTAAGTCCCCTTTAAGTACTGAAAGGCGGCAATAAGGTCTCCCTGGCGCCTTGTCTTCTTCTGATCATTTTTATGGCCCTCCTCTGGACCTGCTCTAACAGGTCCATGTCCTTCTTGACCCCAGAGCTGTATGCAGTACTCCAGGTGGGGTCTCATGAAAACGAGGTAGAAGGGGAGAATCACCTCCCTCGACCTGTTGGACATGTTTCTTTTTATGCAGCCCAGGATACAACTGGCTTTCTGGGCTGCAAGCACACACTGAAATAAATAAAGCCAAACCAAAATCCCAATATCAATAATCCAGGTTACTCTAGTTTTGATACTATGTTCTCTTATGGAAAGCTATCAATCAGACCACTTTAATAATCCCTGTAAATCAGACAAACTAAAACCAGAAAAAAATATAGCAAACACATGACAAGAACAGTTTCAGTCTTAAAATTGTTAATGTGCATCAGAGTCTTATTAGCATGAATCCAATTATCTATTTTCTTCATTCACCAAGGTTTTAGGTTATTAGTCCAAAGTCAGGAAATAGACTATCTGTCTTCATAACAGGTATCACAATCACATCAAAATCCATCCAAAGAGTTTGGACATGACTGTACAGAAACGGTAATGGAGCCTGGTAGGAAGCTGTAGTCATCATCATTTGTATGACAAAATCCATCTTTCTCAAATCCATAAAGGTGCACCTATACCATTAGGCATGTATAGGCTCTTTATACGGCAATCATAACATAATGTAACTGACATTTTTCTTACTTGATATTTCAGTGCTTGAAGCTGAGTTTCATAATTTTGAGCCATTTCATACTTAGTTTTCTGTAAGTCTTCCAGTTTCTGTTGAAGTAGTCCCACCTACAGTTAGAATAAGCATTCAAATTTACCTTTTCTGAGATGTTCCAAAATACGTCATTTTTAGAATAGTCATTTGAAACTTCGAAAGAAGACTGTGCTTAGTAGATAGATACTGAAAATATATATTCATTCAGTAACTTAATAATGAAACTGGATATCAAGTTAGGGATTTTATTGTAAAAAAAAATCTCACTGTATGCTTATGTTATGATTTAATGATAATACTGTGTGACTCTTGTCATGGAAGACCATTTAATGAAAGCACTTCTGACCCAACTATATGAATGAAGTGCAGTGTCCTGTTGTGAAAATTCTCCTTGAGTGGCTTATATAATCATATAAATGACTTTCAACTACTTATGTAAAATTATCAGGAGACACTGTAGATTCATTTCAGCTCCCTAAGCACAGTTCCATTTGAGATATCTTGAATTATCTGAGACTTTTACAGATATCTGAGCAATATGACAAAGAGCATATGTGACACCTATGTTTTTCTGGAGGGGCAGCTGGAAGCTAGGTAGCATATGATAAAATATTTCAGATAACATCTCTGCACAGGCAAATAAATCAATGCTTTAAGGATTGGCTAGCTGAATTAAACTCTTGGCTCCTCTGACTGCAGTAACTAAGGGCAAGTTCCTAATTGTTCATTAGGGAGAGTTATTTCATTTTCAAAACTCCCCCTGGCAGTTTAGACACTTAGCTCACAAAGGATGCCCATGTATAAACACCTAACTTCAGATGTCTTCAAGTAGAACTGAATGCTGTGCAAGGATTTACTGATGTTTCTGAATGAATATTCAGCAGACAAGACTGTGAAGAATGGACAGCATCAGGTACACTGGGGCTTTCAGTTTGATAAGCATGTCCAAGTGGTAATACAATTCAAATCTTCACTATTAATAATAAAATTATCATACAAAGACAGCATATCATGTAAAATGATAAAAATCAGGTATAAACAGGAATTACAAAGATGTAATTTAGTGTAATTTTGTGAAACTTTTTGGACTGTACATTTCCATTGAAAATTTCTGATGAAACTAAAAGTGTTGGCATTTATAAAAACCATCAAATTATCTTTTTACAGCTAAACTGAAAACATTTAATTTAGACTTCAGGGAAATAGAAGAAATATGAGGCTTTCAATGACATTTTTACAACCACTTTTCAGAACAGAAGCACACTTTAAAGCAAAACACTAAGGACAATTAGTGACCTTTAAAAGGTGTTTGGTATTTTTACATGATAGAACAAACAGGTCGCCTTATAGAGCATTTAGAGCATACTATTAACTAACTCCCAGAATAAATACTTTCTTTATAGAATGTGATATTCTTAAATACCTCTTGACCTTTTTGATCCAGTTTGCTTTGGGCACTTGCTAATTCTTTATCCTGGATATCCATCTTTGCTTCTAAAGCTTTCATCTTCCTTTCCCATTCCCCTTTCTTGCTGTTTACCATGATGTCAACTTGATGCACTAATTCCTGAAGTTCAGCTTCACATGGAGAAACTCTAATAATATAAAAAAAAGAGATTTATTTTTTAAAATAAAGAATAAGTGAGAAATCAAATTTTTATTTACATTGCTAAGATTTTTATTTTAATTCTGATGGAAATAACCACTTTTCAAGACCAGAAAGAAAGAAATAGGAATGCTAAACGATGCCTTTGAATGTAGGTGGAATCTCACTTCATCTATCTTAAGCTTGCCTGAAGTAAAAATCAGAGTATTTAGCATATTCTGGACTTCTTGCCTAGCTTAAATGCTGTTTGATATCCTCTCACTCTTTCAGGGATGAATTGTCAAATGAGCACATGTTGAGTTGAAAGTATCCAAGTCCAAACCTCAATGGACAAGAGTAGGAGAAGATGAATATTAAGTCGCCTATGGGCACAGGACTTCCCACTAAGGGCACATAATGATGGAAGCAGAATTTGTTGGAGGAAGTTATTAAACAGCTGGCTTGAAAGCTAGCCACAATTCTGAATTGCTTGTTCAACTTCTACACTGTTTTCCCATTCTCTTTGTGGAAAATGGACTTAAGTAACAAGGCAACTTGTATAATAACAGTAAGTTTTAATTCTACTAGGAAGCACAGAAGTGAGTGCATTTTGAAAAGGACTTGTCTTTGGGGGACTGTGTCCTGGATTTGATAAGATTTGTACAATATCTGCAACATAAACATTGGATTTTTTCCCAAACTTCTGAGGTTAAATTTGGAATACATCCCTTATACTACAACTTCATTGTCAATAATAGACAATGATGTTTTACACTGTTGCTTTAGGAATATGATGTGTTCTAACTAACAAAATAATGATACATGATCAATTTATGGTATATTAGTACGGCCATCAGAAACTGAAAGCAGCCAAAGTTGCCCTCTTAGTTGCCCTCTTATACAGCCCCTTATACAGGAGTGGTATATTAATTTAAAAAAATGAAACTTTGTCTGGATAGTGTCAAACAATGTTTAGATCAGCTGGTTTACACCATTTAGAAGATATATAAAAGTATCTGAACTTCAGTATGGAGATTTCTTTATTCCATATCCATTCCAACTTTGTATTTGATGACGAATATAAGAAAAATTTGAAATAAGAAACATATAGATTATAGAAAATTTGGCTGTGGATACTTTTTTATGCAAGAAATTGCATAACTCTTTCTACGGTCCCAAACTTCTTATTTCTAGAAATGACTATTTCACATCAAAATTATACAGTCCTTCTAAGGTATATGAGATTTTTTTCCTGAAGTATTTTGGAGAGTTTATTGCCCAGTTAACCTTGATTGTTTTATGAACTGATAGCTTCTCTCAATCTTTAAATTTACAGCTGGCATTTCAGATTTGCAATGATTTATTTACAAGTCAGAATCTTTTTAGAACTCATTAATCATTTCAACTTCCAGTGAAACATTCCAGTTAGAAAAAAATTTATACCATAATTAAGTAAAACTTTTTGTTGAAATGTTCCTGAACATTTTATTTTCCTGACTTACTGCCTCTTCTCTACTTAACCCAGTATTCTAGGGTTTGGGAAAAAAGATAAAGGAGACAATGTACACTCCTGCCTAATTCCTTCCCATAAAATAAAGAAGGGAAATTTTATTCCGTTAACACTCAGAGCTGGTTTTGGACTGTTACAAAGAAGAGTTAGCTATTGAACAAATTGCTTAACTATATATATGAGCCCATACATTTTCTATAAAACTTAATTTTCATTGAGTCATATGGAAAAAAAGCCAGATTGTTTTCTATCAGTATGATTAATTACACATCACCAAAAAAAAAAGCTGTCATTTGTCAACCATTAAAGACTTCAATTTGATCTCAGTTTACTTAAATTGAGATACAAAATCAGAATTAGTTAAGATGGTAGTTTGATAAAAACCTTTAGCAGACTTACTCACCACTGTAATGCTCACTTCACCATTGAAATAAAAATATTTATCAACTTCAGGCTTTTTTTGAAAATACCACAACTTCTAAGAATTTTTAGTATGTTCAGAGCTCATAGAATGTTTGATGTAGATATTTTTATACTAAGTACCAAAAGGGGCATGTATCTCACTGGAGTGAAGGAAAACCTTTCACTGACTGTCTTTAGACAGCAGAATACTGTGTTGAATTTTTAAACTTTTGAGGAGTAGCATCTCTTTCATTTCATTTTCTGTAAACATTTCTTTTCCACACAATTTTTTTTAATGGCATCTGTTATCTGCATATACTGTTCTCATATGACTTCACTGTTTATAAACTTTTCTACTTCTTTTCCACTTCTTTTTTAGAGCTTTTAAAATACCTTTCTTGTTTCCTGTTCTAGTTTTAATTGCCTTATATATATTTTTTTTTTTAATAAGAGATTCTATTTATAAATTACCCTAATACACAGCTTTATTACTTTCTTTAGAAGACAGACTTTTATCTTATCTTTATCACATACTGGACTGTATTGAAATGTTTCATCTCTAGTTGTTGCAATCTTATCTTGGCCGTGAAAAAACCTTATCTTGTTCACGTCTTCAAATTATTCTTTTGAGTGGTATGATCTGATCATTGTGAAAATTTCTGCATTTTTCCCTCTGCAATGATTTAGAGATTAGTGATTCCAATTACTGCCATACCTCAATGAAGGTACAAATAAACCCAATGTTCCTCCACTGTCAACTCTCTCTCCCTTATCTCAATCAGTTCTACTGTTAGTAAACTGTTAGTGGTACACCTGCTTTCTCTTTTTTCATCTGCCATAGTGACTATTCATTGTGCAACTGAAGTTTAATCTGCATTTAATTTCCGTTTCCTCATACTGTTGCATAATTTTCAAGTCTCTTCTTTTTTGTTGGTTTTGATTAGAAGCCTATAATGAGTTTCCTCTTGATAAAACCAGCAATTGTATTCTTTCATAAATCTGTTAACTATCCCTTCTGATATCTAAACTGATGCAAAAAATGTGTTGTAACCTATTACTTTTCATGATAATAAATTTAGCCTTCTGATAAGCACATTTCTTCACTTAAAATAATCTAAGAATGCTGTGATGTTGTTTTGAGTAATGACACGTTCCTTTTTTCTTTTAATAATATTATTTATCTCACTGACATTTTCTCCCAAAGTAAAAGTGATAGCCACTGGTCATAATTTAATTGGTTCTTTAATTTATAAAAACTTAAAAGCTATGTATCCTCTTGACTGCTGATGGCACACACACCTCTGTGACACATAAAGTGCCTTTATGATCACTAATCAGTTTGCAGTCATTCTAGTATCTCCATGGCGTGATGGTTTGTTAAAATGAGCATAGCTATTTCCTTAAAATGAGCATAGCTATTATTTTATGAAATAATTGCCATAGAGACAGTCACAGAGAGACAAAATGATGGTGCAGCATCTGCATAATGTAGCACGAACCTACAAAAGGGTTAATGATAAAAAGCACAGCAATATGCTTGAAACTGTTCCATCCTAGGAAGTGTTGGAGAGGATTTCAATCCCCCAATGAGCACAGAATGACTTTTTGTGCCACGAACATTACAGTCTGGCATATGGTTTTGGGGGACATTGCAACCAAGAATGTGCCAAGCAATTAGGAACTTTATTTTCACAGAACTGCGCTTAACGAAACGCAAGCTGAGCCTTACTCAGAGGTAATATCCCTATTGCCAGTGAGCCTTCAACTGCTAAGGTGCTGCCAGCACATCACCAAAGAACAGTAGCATGTGCCTCTTACGTAAATAACTGTGCAAACCAAGCCAGGGTGCTTTTACTGCTGGTGGTTGATACCACCATCTTGTGTGAATGCTAGAATGACAATGCTTCTTTTCTTTTCTGGTAACCTTTCACGACCCAGCTCTTCAGCCAGCTCTCCAAATGCCTGCTCTCCCTGTGCCCATGCAGACATGCTGAAGTCCCTTGTCTGTAGGTTGTGCTCTGAATCAAGTGCTGGTCCCACACACAAAAAGCATTCCTTAACATGGATATGTGTTTATTGCATGTCTTTTTTTTGCTGCTTAAATGGTGTAAATCCCTTGTTTTGATAATTGTTACAGGGAATTGGGGCAAGTTTGTTAGATTTATGATATCATAATTAAAACTCAACACCATTTTTAAAAGTAAAATTCTTTAAAACTTTTTTATATCAACAAATGCTTGGAACTTTATCAGTGTTAAGCTTGGAAAGGCTTTTTAAATACACATATAAATCTTAATGCCTTTTTAATGTTAAAACTGTTAGCAATGCCATTTTAAAATTTAATATGAGTCACAGAATGCTAATAGCCAAAGTGCAAGCAAGTAGTACACTGTGACGTACATATCACAAAACAAAAATGTCCTCTCCCCAACTGCCTCAAACTTATCTCAAAATAGCATTAATGATGCAGCAAACTTTGGTTCCCTCTGGGTTGAATATAAAATGGGATTTTAAAAATGGCAGATGAAACAACACTGCGTCAGGATGACCTTTTCTGTGATACTGCTATAAGGGCCTGTGCCCTTCCAGCCTCACGTATTGTCAGGTGGCAAGAATTTGATGAACCACCAGCAATGACTCGGCTCTCTGATTTTAGCCTTCAGAAATAGGTACTTCCTTTATTGTGTGTCACATGGATCATCTAAATATTGCTATGCAAGTGCAAATGCAACCTCTAGCCTGGATCAACAGGGTCACCCTTTCAGGCCCACCATGGCTGACATCTTTCTCTCTGAAGTTTCACCTATCCTTTTTGGATCATCCCGCACAAGGCATGTTCTGCAGCTCTTGCTAGATTTTCTCTGAATAGTTCTTGCATGTTTCTTGAACCTAGAACCACCAATATACAAAAGGGAGCTGCTGAAGGAAAAATCCCTTCTGAAACAGCTTTGCAGCCTACCTCCACTTTCTCTGTCTACTTCCTTACCTACATCCTCTAGGTACACTTGCATCTGAAAAAGAAAAGCTATATCTGAAGCTGTAGATTACTGCTGCTGTTCTATACCAGAACCACTCTGTATCATGGCTGTGGCATTACACACAGATGTGCATAAAGACTATTCGGCAGTTATCCCCACCTCCTAGCAGAGAGGTGCTACCAGCTGCTGTAACTATTATTTTAGTCCCTTCAGTGTTTCAAAGAGAGTGCTAACTATCCTCCTCAGAATACGGCCAATCATGTGGTATCACAGTCATGAGAATTCATTTGATCACTGGATGTTGAATGAGGAAAACTCTGGTATCTTTTGTTTAATAAGCCATCAGGTACACAAACACACAGAGAGCAATGCATAAAACACAGTAGCATGGTTTTTTTACCCTTATGAATTCAGCATTCCCACTTTGTTGAATGTGTACATCAAATGGATTCTTCATACATGGAAGCAAGTGGCAGCTATTTTTTTTAGTTGCATTTACTTTGAAACAGCTAAAAATACTTAAAGGTATCTCATTTTTAAAGCAATGTAGGCAAGCTCTTAGTCTTCCTTTATTTCCATATTGGTGAAGACAGAGATGATTCATATTCTGCTGTCATTAATAACTATTTATCTTCATGTAAAATCTAGATGTTTCCAAGTTTAGACAACCCAAAATCCAGATAATAAGTTTTACCAACTCCAGGCCTTTACCACAAACAAATTTTGCACTAGTTAGACCTTTCTAGCTTTTTTTATCTGCCTTTTGCTTTAGAGTTCTGCACAGATCTGTATTTTTCTGATTGTTTCCTAATAGACATAGAAAGAATATTATTGTCCATACACTTTATTTTAAAGTTGTAATTTAGAATCTGCCATTTTAAGAAATGTTTTGCTCATACTGTCAATCTCTGCTTCATGCCTTCTTCCCTTATTACTCTGGTTCGCTGACAAATAGGAAAACATGTATGACCACATTTATGCAAACACAAGCAAAACCTATGCAGAACAACATTGACAAAGATTGCTGTCTTACATAATGCATTCATTAGTTTTTGATCCTTAACACATCTTCTGGAGCCAATATTAATTCCTTTTCTCTTCTTAAAACTTGCTTGAAAAATAGGCAATATAGAAACTGGTTCTGATACAATAGTCCGTTAGAATCTTCTACCCCGAAGTTCCATAATATGAACTACAACTCATTTATTTAATAATTTTCAGCCATACAGGATCATAGACATCTGTGGATGGATAATTTGTGATTTATGAGTTCTTGCAGCTGGGATGTAATAGTCATGATTTCTACCACCATTATCCAGCCATTTTCCCAAATTTTAAAGCTATCTGCATTATTTCTGGAATACTGTCAGCACAGACTGAAACAAAGGTCTCCTAGCATTGTATTCTAAACTACTCTTCCAGATTCTTTGTAGAGTTAATGGAAATAAATAGCTACCTAGAATACCTGGCTTATGATGGGACAAATCACTCTCTAGATTCATTTGCAATGACCTGAAATTTCACATATGTCAATTACAACAAAGGCCAGGCAGGATCTGAACTCTTGAAATAAGCATCTGATTCGTTAAAAAAAGTGTCAAAAAAACCCACAATATTTTGATTTTTCCTAATATTCAAGTTTTTATATGACCATATTTACCAGTCATATGACCAACAAAAAGAATGCCCCTCAAAGCCAAAAAAAGGGCCACATTGTTCAGAATACAGTATTTTAATGCAGCAATTATTTCCTATGATTAAAAGTGCACACATTATTCTTCAGTACAACAGAGCACATTTTCAAATCCTTTTAAAACTTTATTGGGCCAAAACTTGTGTTTCTGTTATTTTAAGAAATACTTTTACACTTAATATGCATCAATTACCTTGAAATGCTTCTTGGTAATAATGATAAAAGAAACTGGTTTATATGAAATATAGGTAATCAGTTTGTTTACAAATTATGATAGATAAATATTCTATTTAGCTCATTATATGGGGAAGTACTTTTTATATTGCTGTGTTCCTTGAGCAGGCTGGATGGGATGAGTTCCTACATCAAATCTCACCCGTTCTTGCACTTCTTTAGAAATCTTTAGAAAGATTTTATGCTGTACTAGTATTTTTTTAGATTAACACTAAAAGAACTACACTTGGATTATGTCAAAAAAAGATGATTGTGTTGTGATGAAAAGTGCACTTAATACTTGGTAGGAACAATTGTGGTTATTACCAGTGCAAAATCAGACCAAGTCTAGCAATTAATAGCCTTGTTTTTAAGATTTTTGAATCTTTTAAGAGCTGTGATATGCAAGTTTATACTGCTGTAGCCTAGCAACTTCAACTATTTTTTAAAACAGTTTGAAATAACATTTCTTAACATTTTAATAAAACCCCACATGGCTTTCATTTTTTCCCCTTTGTTGAAGCATGATTTAAAAAATTTAAATATCTAACAGAAACAGTCAGTAGATTATTAGCTAAAGCAGTAAGATGTGTTGTCTTAATTATCAGTAACCCCTCCAGTCTGCATAGAAAACAGCAGAAGAAATTGAGGAAGAATCACATTTGCTTCTAAAATCATTAATATTGTTTCACGTTTTTAATAAATCCACGTAATTTAATTCCATTACATATTAACCTCCCAGACAGTAACTCATTACTTACTTAGCGACAGCTTGTTCCTGAAACACTGCTAAGTCCTGCTCCATATTACTGATTGCTGTTTTAACCTGTTGAAGCAACAAAAATCAAGTAATTCAGATTCTTAAATGCGTGCATTTACACAGCCAAGTACTGTATCCTGGAAAGTTCTATGCTTTCCCTTCAATTTCTGTAATTCTCCCATTGCAAACAACAGGGGCAGGGGAATGTAGTTCTAATTACAGGCTGCAATGGGCAAGATGAAAACGTCTGTAGTAAACTCGGCAGCTCTCGCACTTGGTGTAGCACTGAGATTACTGGAGGTGGTGGCTAGCTTGAGGATAGCCCTGGATTTCCACGAGGAACAGTTTGTTTTGGGTCATTCCCTGTTATGTGATGTCAATGATTTGCCAAGACACTCTAAAACACATAAATCTAGATTTGTCATAGATCCATGGCTGCATTCATCAGCCATTTCTCATACTTTCACACACCCTAATTAACTTATACCCAGGCTACAGTTTTTCTCAAACACGATTTTGGACTCCCATTGACTATTCGCTCCCTCGCTTAACAGATGCAGTGCCGAGACACACAGCCTTCAAGTACCTTGGGCAGAAAGATCAGACCAAGACTGCTGCTGGGGCCAGTCCAGTTCTGTGGGTCCAGCAGGACACAAGGATGTGGGGCAAGCCTGGGTGCATGAAAAAACAGGACCCAGCCACATTACGGGTGATAGAGTGGCGTGAAACAGCCCTAATTCCTTGTTGGGACTGAGCAGTGGGGCTCTCCAGGGCACTGGTGCCAGTACATACTGGTGTGCGGACACATGGCGCCGCGGCCTTGGCTCCACAAGGACCAGGCACCTGAGGTGACACTGCCACCGGGGCAGCACCCTTGGCTCCACAGGGACCAGGCACCTGAGGCGACACTGCCACAGAGGCAGTCGTAGCTCTAACAGGGACCGGCACCTGAGGTGACACTGCACAGGACCACCACCCTTGGCTCCACAGGGGACCGGCACCTGAGGTGACAGAGGCACCGGGGCAGCCTTGGCTCTGCCGGGCACCTGAGGAGACCGGGGCACCCAGGGCGCCGCCCGAGCCCCCGCGGCGGGCCAGGCA